CGGCCACACTAGCCGGTAAAGCGCGCGCCGCTCAGGCGCTCCTTCTCCCGGCTCGGCTCCCCCCCGCCGATTTTAAAGTTTTATTTGGGTCATTGTGTTAATTTCGAATCTATAAATTAAAATACATTAAAGTTAAAAAATAAATGGAAATAAAAGAACCGAATAGCTCTTGCGGAAAATATTTGCCGAGTGAGCGGGAAGCCGGGAGCGCCCTGGCGTTGGAGGCCTCTCTGGTCTCTGCCTCTGGCCTGGCCTCAGCCCAGCGCTGCCCAAGAATCGGAGTGGAGTTGGGTGGTCATTTTCCCTTTCCTTCCCCTCTTCCTCGGTATGAGGCCCAGCGCTTTGCATTTCAGCTCGGTGCCCTGGCGAGCCCCCAGCCTGGCTTGAAGGCCTGGTTGGGGAAGTTTGTGGGACTGTGGGGGTTTGGTTTAGTTTTGTTTTGTGAATGTGTGTGATTGAGCATGTGGGCTCAGGGATGTGTTTACTTGGGGGGCAGATGTGAATCTGTGTGTTTATAAGCCAATGTGTGAATGTGTATTAGTATGTATAAATGTGTCTGTGGGTGAGTGTGAATGGGTGTTTACTTGTGAGTGTGTGTGAACATGAATGCATGTGTCTGGGCATAGAGCTGGGCTGTGTGAATGCCTGTATGTGTATTTGTGAACATATAAATATGAGTGTATCTTTGTTGGCTGTAGGTGACTATATATCTATTTATGTGTGATGTTAGACTATAAATATGGGATTGTGTGCATTTGTGTGTGTCGCTGTGTGTAAAAATTGTAAAACGAATGTGTGATGTTGGAGTTCACTAGTTGGCAGCCCCCAGAGCAGGGGCACCAGGAAAAAGAGCAGACCCCAGCACAGAAAGAAACAGGCCAGCAGGAGAAGTTACAGCAGAGGGGTGCTGGGATGCATGGCTAATCCTGGCGCCCTCGCAGCCTTAGGGAGACACAGAAAATAGAGCATCCGTTTGTTTTTAAATTGTGTTTTATTTCTCCATTCTTCAGATACACATAGAATGTAAAGAGGATCACTGGGGCTGGCAGGAGCAAGGAGCATCGGGCAGGGCAGGTGCACAGAGAGGACAATGGAGCTAGTCAGTGGGTCCTTGGGGCTCCCTAAGGCCCCTTCAGTGCCGCTACTGGGAAGGCGGGCTCACGAGGGCGGGGGAACAACACACGTTAGTCCAGACCCACAGACCACAAAAGACAGCGTCAAAGAAGCGGGCTTACAAAACAGCAAAATTTTACAAGGACGTTACACTAGCGACGTAGAAAAGGGGAGGCAAATTCCAGAAAGCTATAGAACAGGTAGACGATGCCCTTCCCGTACTGTACAAAACAAACCCTGCGGACTTTTCTATAGGTAGTTTTTGTTTTCAGTGTTAAGAAACCCAAAATTTCACCTTCTCTCCTTAAAAAAAAAAAAAAAATTAACAGCTTTTCATTTAAATAGGGCTCCCCCCCCCCCATT